ATAAAAAAAAAAAAAAAAAAAATCACATCTTGAGGTCAACCTCAGATTATGCTGTAAACTGTTTTTAAAACGATAAATTGTTTGTGTGCAGAATCAATGACAAGCCTGTTGAATTATAACAAAGACAAGTACAAATGCTGTGCTTTTTACGCTCAAGGTTCCCCAAGTATTTCACAAACCTATACAGAGGCAATCACCTGTGGGGTGGATGCTGACAGCTCATGAGCAAAGAGAAGATTACACAGATGCACAATGTGCTATATCATGCTTTACTTAAACAGATCTTTAATATGAAAGTGATAGGAGCCCAAGGAAATCAGAAGATTCAAGGCTGAGCTTAAATAAAACCAACAATAAACAACAGCTGAAGACAGCAAGTCCTTAGTTCAAAAGGCAAGAAGTGGCATTCGTTTGGGTGGCATAGCATTCACGACTCCAGTAACAACACAAAAAGGTGAAGTGTTTTTAGAAGGCTGAATTATGTAAATACTGCTTCAATCATCTGCTCCAATTTAGTGGATGCCAACAGTTTATATGCATGGACTGAAACAGGCACATTAGGAGATGGTCCTAAAATAGCTTTTATTTACCAGTTTGGACCAATTCCTCCTCAAATCCTTTAAGCAAGATATTTCAGAAGTGGTAAATACTCAGTTTCCTCAAATTCACTCCTATGGCATGATGCATTCATCAGCAATGCAAACGTTCCTAGTACGGCGGTGAGCTGCAACAGGGTTGTCAGCATGATCCAAAGCAGGTTCTCAAATTACAGTCCATGGCCAGACTGCAGCATTGTACAAATCAGGGCTGTGCAACTCATGGCCTACAGGTGGTATGTGGCCCACAAGGGGTTAATATACAAACCCCTGGCTCCTGCCAGCTGCCATTGCCACCTTTGCTCCAGCTGCTGTGGTGGCAGTGGCCAGGGTCTCTAAGACAAGACCACGTGGCAGGAGGCCTGCTGGGCTCACGGCCCATGTGGCAGCAGTTGCAGGGAAAGGATGGGATGGAAACAGCTTGCGCAGTGGTGGCAACAGGAGGGCTCACACAGCAGAAGTAGTGGGGGGGGGGGGGGGGGGGG